ATACAAGTTAATTAAAAACGAATGTTTAGCGGTTTTCCTGAATATTCAGTAGCTGAATATTATTAGATGAATGATTCTAGGGAAAATAAACCCTTGGTTCAATACTAAGAAGAAGGATAAATATACGAATGTGGTAAGGCAAGAGAAAAATGTCCTTGGGCACAATAAAACAAGCCGCATTGACTCCGCTGCCACTATGTCTTCTGCAAAAAGGGGCGACATTAAATCAAAACTAATATCGAAATATGCCCAGCTACCGACAATATAATTTTGGTTATGTGGAATTGTTATTTCGACGACCTTGTTATTAATTATTCCAGCTAGTAAACACACACAAAATATAAACATAATAACTTTTGATATAATTGATAATGTCACTGGCTGTGAAAATGGTGGAGGGAGGTAATTTATCTTTGGGGTTTGTGGGTTTGCCGTAACCCATCGACGGCGAACCGCATGGAAGACGACTCAGCCACAATGTATTTCAATTAAGTTTTGTATCTGATTTTAGTAATCACAGGATAACAATGGCATTGAAGAAGTAGAGAAAGCAGGAGAAGAACCACGTCAACCATAAAGTCAGACTGTCTTGTATATTTTTACGGAAGGTTTGTGACTAGAACTTCTTTATGGCACATTCACTCTGTGCCCAAGGAAAATAAACAAAGTTGCCAAAAAATTGTGTATGTATGTGTGTGGGTGGTAACACGAAACCGCAACCAAATGATTCAAACATCCATTAAACTCGAACGAAAACATAAGATGGTTTGGTTGCTTATGGCCACCATAAAAAGCTAATCGGAAACCGACGACATTATGTTAGTCATTGTTGTGTTCTATTTATTGCTTGGAAAGGATGGGAATAGAGGTAGCCTGTTAGCAGCTATAAACAGACTGAAATAAAGGGAATTGTCTTGAGGACAGTCGTTTTGTACTTCTTGAAGTGTAAACAGTACTCAAATGGAGCGTGGATTACGCACTTGCTGGTTTACTGATTTATAGTCACGTGGCGTTAGTGCCTGGTATATCTCAATCCTCAATCTTGCCCCCCCTGTAAAATGCACACATACCCACACACATATCATCTTGTCAAATGTATGCCAACAACAATATATCACGACGGTATTACATCTTTTTCGACGCTGCCTGTTGAAGTTATTAAAAAATAATAAAATGATAATAAAAGTTATTTTCATTATTTGTTTTGTGATAAACAACGCTTTTGCATTATACTCTCCGTGATTGAATGCTGAAGTATCTCGGATTGTTTCCCACAGCCTCAGTAATGTTTTGATTGCTTTTTTTGCGCACAATAAAAACAGAATTTATTAATCATTACAAATCAATGTGAATGGCAAATAAACGCAACATTATTGTTTTTAAATTAAAATAATAACAATATCAACATCGGCATGTAAATGTAAATGTGAGTAGGTATGTAAAGCAGATTGCTTGTAAAATAAAATTGCCATGTGGAGGTAGGTAAGGGTCTGAAATATTAATACGAAAAGAGTCTGGATAATTAATACGAATCCCGAATTTCTTCTGTAAGAAATATTAAAGTTTGAAATTCAGAAGATTTGTGTTATATATGGCAGCGTGCTTATAAAAGCGAAGTAAGAATCTGATTTACTTCATTTCTACTAAAACAAGATGTGGTGTAAAAATTACAGATATCGGTCCACCACCTCTGGAAACTTAGAATTCATATCAATTTCAATTCAATATTCATAACTTGTGAACCAGGTGAACGATTCTTTTCAAACATATGTATGTCTTATTTTTTTTTCTCAACCAGAGATCTGAGTGAATATGGAATTTATTGGCCAGCTCCATCTGGCACCCCTCCCGCAACAGTTCAACATTTAGATTATTCGCATAAAATTAAAAATAAATCTTCGAATTTTTCTTTAAATTTGACACAAATCAATATTTTTAGCAGTATTAGAGGAAATGGAATACTTCGGTCCATTATATCCGGTACATCATGCATATTTCAACAATTTACAAATATTATCACATATCTCATAAAATGTGAAGGAAGTAGTCGAAATTGGCCACTTCTTTCGGAACCTCCCCTTATTAAAAACCACAACGCAAGGCTGAGGGTATACATCTTTTGGCAATATCAACAGATACCCCGTAAATTGTTATATTATTATTAAGTCTGACTATTTTATAATAAGAAAAACCTATTCCAAATCTATTCTAAATTCATATGCTAAGAAATATTATGCCTCCGACGCATTTAAAGCATGAATAAACATCAAATTCCCAATTTTGGAAAGAGAATAACAGGGAGATGTCATGCACCTATAATTCCTCGTTGGTTAAAAAAGCTCCCCAGGCACATTTTGTTATAGGTTGCTAAAGAGGGGCGTTTATTGATAAGTAGTATTTTGTTATTTGTAATAGAGATAATGAATATTTGAATTGAATTCTAGCAAATCGTGTTTTAAATTGCGTGTTTGTAATTCTTGTAACCATATACTTTTCCCAAAGATCTAAAAAATATAATCATTTTTTGCTATTTTGTTGGTAATGACTAGTTCAATGCACTTGGAGTCTGAGTTTAAGTTCGGTGCAATTGCTATTTTGGAGCATTTATACAGGGTGATATAAAAAAACTGCAACAAAGTCAAACGTCATTACTTCTACATTTGTGTCGTGTCGGAAAAAGCATCATATTTTAGAATTAGTTTAGATTTGTTTGAATTGGTCACCACTGTCGCTGTCCGAATGTTGTTCTGCAGTATTTTGGCCCATTCCCGGCGAAGCGATTGCTTGAGGTGATCGACACTTTGCTATTTTGTAGTGTCAACCTTGCTTTCCAAAATGGCCATTGCGCACTGGAAATGAAGCGAGGAACCTTATTTTGTAACCATTCTTAGGTGGCGCGTGCTGAGAGTGATGTTTGCGTGCCCAAGGCTTTAATACACCCTGCAGAATATTTTCGCGATAATATTCGGCATTTATTCTGATGCCATGGTCACCATCGGCTGTTATGGCGGCCCACACCATCACCATGACCAGCGCTTGAGTTCTGATGGCCAACCAAAGGTGCACATTTTCAGCTGACCTCTTTGGCAAGTAAACACGATCATTTTGTTTGTTTACAAACTGCAGGAAAATGATTGTTTTCTCATCGGAGAAAACCTATTTCGCCAATTCGGCCAAGCGAAGCAACTCTTTAGCTCTTTTGAGTCTATTTTCCTTCCGTTGCGGTGTAAGTTCTTGCACTTTTTGGAATTTCAATGGCCTTACACCGAGCTCATTTTTCAATATTTTTCGAATGGATTATTGCAATATGTTCAGCTCATGTGCCATTTTTCGGTCACTGCGACGCGGGTTTCGATCAAGTCGCTTCTTTGCTTTTCGAAACATTTCTGCTGATGTTGCTGTTTTCTTCCCTGCACTTCCTTGACGTCGGGAGACACAAAAGATTTATTCACATTTAAATGCTGGAGTGCTCTAACGATAGCCAATTGTAGTTTTCCAGCCAAATATAAAGAAATCAAACTATCACGCTTGAATTCCATCACGAATAACTTTTTTTCTGGAAAATTCTCACCAAAATGCTTTTGTACGCTTTTAAAGAATATAATGAGCTGTCACTGGAATAATATTAACAGCTGTCGGACAAGTGGCTTAGAAATGGCAGCAGTCTGAAATTGGTTGCAGTTTTTTCAGCTCACCCTGTATGTTGGTACGTATATATGGCGAAGGGAGGAAATGTTTATTTTATTATGAAAATAGATGTCATAATAAATTGAACGGAATGGTACAAACCTAAATTACTTAAATAACACATTGCGTTGTGAACGGTTGTTGCATCCGATAACTGGATGGAAAATCACTCATCGCCAGTGAAAACGACAGTATGCATGACAGCCATTTAATGTGTTTTCCTATCTCTGCCTTACCCCCTGCTAAACATTACCATCCAATATCCATTCAATTACCACCACAATAATGGGATTAAGCCTAACCATTTTGTATCTGCCGTTAAATATACAAACTCCGAGGCCATTGTCACCAAAAACATATTATTGAGCAAATAGGGGAAATGTTGGATCCCCAAATCAAGTTGTAGTTACACCACACCTTCATAAATCAGAGAGGAACTCAATTTTTCATTTTACAAATACATTGTTTTATTTTCCACTCATTCATTTTAATATTGTACTATGGAATTAACACCTTATTTAACACATTAGGACAGATGTGAAAATGAATAACTGTCTTGAAAAAATGTGTTTATTTACGCAAGAAATATAGGCTTATTGTTACGATATACACATTTTTATTGATTCTACGTGTCGAAACAATTAGTTGACCAACTGTACGCTCAGGTTTTCCACTTAATCTTTTCGAATGGAAAAATGTCACAAATTAAGTATTATTTAAATTTTTTGTAAGAAACGCCGATTTAGTTCTTTCGGAGAATAATAAGAAGACATTTATTTGACACTAAATTCTCTCTGTGGTTCAATAATTCATCAGCGTCAATCAATTTCATCAAAAAGCACGACCAAAAAATTCTGTATGTTTTACATTAATTATTAATGCAGAATATAAATTAATTTATTTAGAATTTATTTAGACAAATATTTCATTTCCCAACCAGAAAAAAATTCCCTTTCGTCAAAAACTACTATGTAGGGTATCAAATTTCCGGTATCATCACTTTCTACGTCTCAAAGGTATTTTATAGATTTTTTGAATGCATTTTAAATCAACGCCATAACTTTTGTCATTAATTTTAAGCACAGATTCCAGTTTCAAATAATAAAAAAAAAGCAACTATGCAAAATAAAAATAAAAACCACAACTAAAACGGTGTTTATGACAACAAATAACAAATTTAGATAAAAACAAACTGTTAACATTTAAAAGAAAAACAACAACTAAAATATTGTTACTTAAAACATGATCACACTTTTGTTGAAAAATGATTTATTATATTTTCAAACATTATTCAAAATATCAATTCCATTTACTTGATTTTTACGATTTTGAATTTGCTTTTTAAGAATTCACAAATTAGTTGATGTATTTATTTATTTATTTTGTTGTTTTCTGGCACTTTTCAATTTAGTATTTTCTAATAGTTTTGTTGCTTCGTTTCAATATGCATTCGGGCAAAAATATTCGATTATTTAGTGAATTGTTTGTTGTGCATTAAGTCATGCGGTTTTGCGTTTGTTTATTTTTTGTTTTTGTTTATTTGCGATACGTTCGGAACGATTACGTTACGGATATACGAGTTTTTTCTTTTGGTTTGTTTGTTTATATTTATTTTTGTTTATCGGACATTACGTGCCCGCGACCGTCGCGGCGATTTATCGCGACCCAACTAGTGGGGTCAGGCGTCCGTCCGATTGACCGACCGCGTGTGAATGTTACCGTACACGGTTCACAATGAAATGTACCAACCACAGCTGGTGAGCGTTGAACCACGACCGCGATTTGCCAAAAAAAAAAAGAAACACTAACGCGCCGAGATAACCCGCTGAAGATGAATGAAGGCTTTGATTTGTTTTCTTTTTTGCCTAACCGTTAAAAGCGTCCGCACGTTTTGCCTTCATGGGATAAACTGGATTTTCGGAGTTTGCCAAAACGTAGAAGCGAAAAGACAACAAACAGAAAAGCGAAAACATTCACACGTACACACACACAGACACTGGCAATGATACGCCAGCAGACCTCATGCATGTACAGACGTATCTGAAAATCAACTGACTTGCTGGCTGAAAACAGTCGCAGCCACACAAAATTCTGTTCTGTGCGAACAGAACAGACATCGAAGAGCAGCAGCACCATCAGCATGCAGAACCACCAACAGCCGACCCCAATGACAGCTGTAAACAACACTAGAGCCTCCTTTCCTCACGAAGCGTGGAGAGTGCGGAGAGGCACTAATATGGAAATTTGAAATATTTATTCTCAACTATGAGCGAAGACAACAACAATAGGAAAAACAAATATAAGCACCCATACCAATTAATTTTTGGGGGTCTATTCACCTGAATGCGAAAGCAGGTGCTACAACAACGCCAGACCTTTGCCAGACATCAACCTCCAACCCCAATGGTAGTTCAACATTTTCTCTCACTAGCTCTCTCTCATTCTTTATTTTCCAAAGAGAGCATCAACGTTTGTTTTGATTTCTGATTTGCGGAGGTGTCCACATTTTGTCATCTTTAAATACTTTTCATTGTGTCGTCTAAAAATACGTTTTACTTTAGTTGTTTTTGTTTTTTGGTGATCGCTTAGACAAAACACACAATTTTGTTTTTTTTTTGTGGAAAATGCCATTAATTTTCAAATTCAGACAAATCATGCATTTGCTTTCGTTTTCATTTGGCCCATTGCCCCTGGTTGGAGACAAACACACACCGTCACAGCCACCCACTTAACCACATGCATTCGCTGTGCTGTGTTTACCTTCCCCGAGAGCAATGGTCGTGTGTCTCATCACTTGTGAGAGCGCGCACATCAATTCGGAGTAAGAAAGAAATCACGTCACAACATTTTGTTGTTTTTCTTGTTATTGCTCTTCTGTCCTCAACAATCTGTATCTGTTCGAATGAAGCACATGTGAACCACAATGCGATACATTGTCAAAGGTCTGCTAATGTCATAAAGCTTTTATTTATCTTATTTCATGTAAATTAACAGAAGCAGAGCTTTCTGGTGGCTACACTGAGAAAAGTTCATTTACATTTTATAATGGACGATTATTCCTATATACAGTTGCGAAACATATAATAGTACCGCAACATAAACAGCCATTGCGGTGCTATGACTTGTATTATTCAAAATCGAAATTTTACTCTTACATGATTGAAATGTCATTAGTTCGCAAGCGAACATCTATACTGGTCAGAACTTAAGAGGGCAATTTGATAATATTTTATGCTTCTTCTGTTGAATAAAAGAAAAAGGAGTAAAAAATATGAGTCGGTTTTGCCGACAGATGAATAGAACATATATATTAACTTGCGTTATGATTATTAAAGTTTTTAACTGTTTATGGGGGAGGTTTCGAAAAAAGTTGGCCAATTTCGTATCTCACCTAAGTCTGATATAAATATTACTTGTACTTTATATGAGATATTTGATATTTTTTGTAAGATGTACAAATGTGATCGAAGCATTCCAATTCATCTAATACTGATTCATATTGAGATGTACAAACTGTAATCGGCATTATAATTATTCATAGGGTTAAGCCATTGTTGTGTGAACAAATATACTCCATCTTACCACCAGATCTTGTGTTGGTGGAAATATTGGAATATGTGAAGTTTGGACGGAATTGGATGCTTGATTCGGGTTTTACTATCTTTATGGCTATAAAAAAATTTGAACCGTTGTGGGGCAGGTACCAGAAGGAGCAGACGAATAAATCCCATTTTCACAACAGATCTTGTGTTGATCGAAATGTTGAAAAGAGTGAAGTTTGAAAAAAAAAATCGAAGGCTCATTGCTATTAAAAATTTTGGCACGTTATGAGGGAGGTACAAGAGGTAGACCGATATATCCCATATTCACACCTGATAATGTCTTTGTAAAAATGTTGAAAATTGCGAAATCTCAAGACAATCGGATTTTTATTTCACATTTTATAAGATTTAAAATTATTCCATGTTGGAATAATAGGCACTTGATGGAGAGCGCCGATTTGGTCCATTTTCGCACCTAACTGTCAAAAATATTGGGATTAGCATAAAATAAAATAAAATGATCCTTTCCTTTTTCATTAAGTAAATTATTTATTTGACAAATTTGGCTTTTATGGGGGAGTTACACAAAGGAGTGAACCGATCTTGTCCATCTCCGATGATGTACCCAATGAAATATACCCTCTCTATATTTTAAAAGTCATTTTGCAAAAATCACTTCTTACATAGACTACAACTTTAGCTAAAGGGAAATGAACTGTAATTTGTGCACAGAATGAAAAAAATTCAAAAAACCACAAGGAACTACAATTGAGGCAATGACTCTTAAGTTCCAGACAATAGGTCTCTCTGGTTAACCGAAGACATTTTTAAGAAAGAGAATTAAACAACTACTTACTAATTGCAAAATAATTTCCTGGACAATTCCAACAGGAAAAGTAAACAGACAGATCAATATACAGATTGTAATTAATGAAGACGCTCCTATTTAGGCATGTATCGTTTTGACAATCTGCTATTTTCTCTCTGTGTATCTGGGCAAACAGAAAAGCTTTCGTCCAGTGAACAACATAACCCTCAAGTAATGTAATGTTTCCGAATTTGGAGTGGAGAGTAAAGGTGCGTATTGCCTAGTGTTTACTTTTAGGCGTATGCGAATTAGAGACCCTGCTTAACGCCTGCAATAAATGTGGCGCACAACAAACAGACAAACAGAGAGGCAAAACAGTCAACAGGTTGATGTGATGATGCTGGCCAATGTAGGTAGGTATGTACATAACTCGTCTGCAGAAGCAGCGGAAATGCTATGCCACCCGAAGTGGGTGGTGAAGGAGAAAAAACTTCAAGGATGAGTTATACAAGTCGTCCGGAAACACGCAAACATATTGACAAAATATATATGTCTCAATCATATGTGTTTATATTTACAGGAATGAACATACTTGCCTTGTGAATTCGATAATGTTTTTCGCAATTAAAAACATAATCATTAATTAATGCAGAAGAAAATTCAGAGCGATTTGTAAGAATTTTGTCGATTTTACAACTGCTTTGGAAATGAATGAAAATTTCACAGTTCAAATGTTTTCTCATTTCAATTAATAGAGCAAAGTCCTTCGATTTTTTCAGTTTTTTTTTTTTTTTTTTTGAAAAGTTGAAAGTGATGTTAGCATAAGCACCTCTTGAAATCGGAACGGGTACACATGTGTAAAACCAATGGAGTGGGAGAAAGAAAATTGTAGAATTGTAGCTCTCCGCTTGACTTGCTCTATTATCAACTTGAAGCTTGCAATACAACGACTAGAAGAAAGGCTCCGAGATTCCGTGGAAATGAATTCCTAGGTTTTGTTAGTCTAAACTGTCTGGAAGCAACAAGGGATATCGGTAGGTAATATGCCATATATATCAAGGAGAATTTGGAGTATATACGTTGGCTTAAATTGCCAGTAGAGATGCGAATAAAAGGGTAGACTGTAAGAATGTACACCAGAGATTCAAACGAGGTGATCGATTTGTTGCGACTCAGAACAAAAAGATTTTCATTGCAATAACTGGATTGACTAAAGTGAGAATTACTGGTCTGAGAAAGGATTTGAAAATATGAAGACTCCAAATCCCTATAATTTTTTGAAGTTAATTGGAGTTCCAGAGCTATAACTTATTTAATGCTGTTTATTTTAGAGAAGATTGGTATATAGGTGTGTAACATGAAACTAGCAAGCAGAAACTCAAGCAAGCAGAAACTTTTACACAAGCGATTATGGGCATAATGTCAGAATGTAAGTTTATGATAATATAGCTCATTATTCGCCATCAATATTAGAATATTAATTGGACCATAAATATATATTAATTTGCACAGATATGAACCTAATTAGCTAAACATGGGTTCTGCACATTAATGATAATATTTGAATTACTAGGCTATAAAATCTCGTCTCTGATCACCAATTATTTGCTTATGAGCGTAGAAAAAAAATATACGAATTGTGATGACAGAAAGCCATAACGTTCGATATTTGTGTCATGTTTTTCGGAATTTGCAAAAACGACAAATGCGTTTGGCATTTAGCGAGTGACACTTTATCCGCCACAATTCAGTGGGTACAGCATTTTCCACTTGCCCGTCTGACGTCAGTGCATAAAATCTCGTTTACAGCTATGCATGTCATGAGCAAAGAACTGGACGGGAGCGGAGTGGAGGTCTGTGTGTTCGGCATGTATTTCTCTAACGGTATTGACAGTCATATGACATATTGATAAAAATTACAAATACCCAAATGGAACGAACAAAAAAACTAACTGTTTGCAGTTCAAGTGTGAAGAATTTTGTTGGAAATCGCTGGCACATTGTGATGGACAGTTTTAGGCTGAACTGTCTTCCAGTTTAATTTGATTGCATTTAGTGATTTTTAGATATTCGAAACTGATTGGTTTTGGGGCAACAGTTTTTTTTTTATTTTTTATTAAAAGTTGTTGGCGCGTTGGCATGCCTTAAGTCATTGTTTAGGGAGTGGAAGTTTTGTGACAGCGAATAAGTTTGAGAAAATTAAATAAATATTAATAACAAAAATGTAATAGATAAAAAAATATCCCATTTGTTTAATATACATAGAAATTTATTTATTAAATATAGTTCAATGAGCGCTAAAAGCCTTTTTGGCGCTGAGGCATTATTGTAATTGGAACTAATTATTATTAAATAAAACAAGTAAAATAGTATCAGTCAGTTTTGCCGACAGATGTATACCCTCAGTCTTGAGATATGAACGTGACAGATTTGGACTATATCGACTACTTCTTGTACTTTATATGAAATATGTGCACATTTTCGGAAAGTGGAAATATGTGTCAGGTAACAGATATGGCGGACCGATATATTCCATTTTCATACTTCATCTAATACAGATAAAATAAATTGGTATGTGCAAAATTTAAAGGAAATCGAACATTCGTATCCAATTTTATGCGAATTCGTAAATTCCGACAAAT